AGGAAGTGGTCAAAGTTTAAATGCACGCGACAATGGCTTGAATGTGATTATTGGTGTGAGAGAAGGCGGAAGTAGTTGGAAAGAAGCATTGAAAGATGGTTGGGTAAGTTATTATTATAATTAAAAAAATCAAAAATAAATGTATTAATTAATCAATTAATTCAAATTCATAGGTTCCTGGGAAAACGCTTTTTCCTATTTTAGAAGCAGTCTCAAAAGGAACAATTATTCTTGATTTATTGTCGGATGCTGCACAAAAAGCACTTTGGCCTCAAATGGCTTCACACCTGACTAAAGGAAAAACATTATATTTTTCTCATGGTTTTTCAGTAGTTTATAAAGATCAAACAAATGTAATACCACCAAAAGATATTGATGTGATTTTAGTTGCACCCAAAGGGTATCTAACTTATTTTCTTATTATGATCATTTGGGAGGTTGGAAATTTTTTTTATAATAAACATTTGTCACTTATATTAATTTTAGTTCAGGTAGAACTGTTAGATCATTATTCCTCGAAGGACGTGGCATTAATTCATCTTTCGCAGTATTCCAAGACGCATCTGGAAAAGCTAAAGATAAAGCTGTTGCGCTTGGTGTTGCTATAGGCTCAGGTTATCTTTATGAAACAACTTTTGAAAGAGAGGTGTTTTCTGATCTTGTAGGTGAACGAGGTGTTCTTATGGGTGCAATTCAAGGTTTATTTTTAGCCCAATATGAGGTTTTAAGAGCAAATGGTCATACACCTTCTGAAGCATTCAATGAAACAGTAGAAGAGGCTACACAATCTCTATATCCTTTGATTGGCGAAAATGGAATGGATTGGTAGAGTATTGTTATACATATATATAAATTAATAAATAAATTTTAACAATATATATTTCTATTTTAAAGGATGTATGCAGCATGTTCTACAACAGCTCAAAGAGGTGCGCTTGATTGGTATAAACCATTTCACGATGCCACAAAGCCTGTATTTGAAAAATTATATGAATCCGTTGCTAACGGAACAGAAACTAAAAGATCTTTAGAAAAAAATTCTTCGCCTAAATATCGCGAAGAATTAGAGCAAGAATTAAAAGAGATTAGGTAAAAATTATTGTATTATCAAATGTTATTATAATAATATTCTTTTTTTAAAAAAGGATTTAATGATTTTTTATTTTATAGGGAAAGTGAAATTTGGACAACTGGCAAAACTGTAAGAAATCTTAGACCTGAAAGAAAGAAATAAAAGAAACATTCAAGTATCCTTCATATTATGATGATCATGGTCATGGTCGTGACTTAATCCTAATCTATACATTTATTATAAAAGAATCTTTTTTTAATTCCAAACTATTTAAAAAAAACATGTATAAAAAAATAAATAAATAAAATATAAAATTCATCGATATTAACGAATTCTTCTAAAAAAAAAAAAGCATCTTTTTGTACTTCATTTGGCTATTCGGTTTTTTTTTGATGAAAGTCTAATATTATACCTAACAATGATTTCTTTTTCGGTGATTTTTTACTTTTTTCTATTCTATAGTTTTCACGATTTCATTAATGGTGTGATTGAGCTGGCCATATACACCTTGATTTTAAGATCATACCATTAAATGTAAAGATCCACACAATAACTTGAGACTATAGTTAAATTTTTCAGCCGGGAGGATATTTCAAGCATCTGGGCTTGCTACTGCAGTAGTGGTTTATGTTTTGGCTGCGTAGCAGCAGTTGACCGCAGGTTGGTGGACGTGATTGCATTTATAGACAAACAAGCGACCGACCCCAATCCTACTTATGTATTGCGTAACAATATAATATAACGCTATTCCGTCAAAATTCTTCTGCAACCATCAGAAAATTTTTGTCAACATATAACGATAACAATTAACAGATGAAATAACTAAAGTAAAATTACATATTCCTATATATACATGTAATTAATTGATCAGTTAATTAATCAATATATTTATATTTGCATATATATCTTTTCCAAGAATGTCAAAGAAAAGTGAAACAAATTGATAATGCATCAACAAGATCAAATCAAGAACAAACTCTGAGCAAAAATATTCAAACTTCATTAGCATTAAAAATACAAAATGGATCATTAGATTTTAGGAAGATGCAAACAGCTTATCTGAAAAGTAAGTAAATCTTGTTTGAGAGTGGATGAGTGAGTTTTTGTTAAAAAAAATTAAAAATTTATTGATACAAATAATGGTTTTCAGAACTCAAATTAAGAGGAAATCGTAACCCTGGATTATTTGCAACAGAAAATATAGATTTAATTGAAGAAAATTGGGAATTGGTAAAATTTTATTATTTTTACATTGTAGTAATTAATAATAATAATAATTAATAATAATAATTTTTTTTAAAGGGATTTTCTGATCAACAACTTGAACTTATTGAATCTTCAGAGGCAATTATTTCACAAAGAGAACATGAAATAAATGAAATATCAAAGTCAATAAATTCATTGGTAACAATCTTTAAAAATATGCAATCCCTTGTGATTGATCAAGGAACATTATTGGATCGAATTGATTATAATGTTGAACAAATGAGTGTTAATGTCAGATCAGCAGCTAAAGTTTTAGAACAAGTAATTAATTATATATATTGAGATGAAAAATGAAGTGAATTTAATTTTAAATTAATCAATTTTATGTTTATATAAAATTTTTAGGGTGTCGTAAAAAAATTATTAAATTTTAGCTCACGAATACAATAATAAAATTAAAAATTTTATCCAACAATGTCTAAATGT